ACATATAATATTTGTCAATCAAATACGCTACCAAAACTAAAAGTTGTTTGTTCTGTCTAGGATGACAGCTCGCATTTCAGTGTAAGTTCCTATACTCCTAATTAATACTTACATAAGTTCGGACTGAACCTAATTTGCTCGAAAAATCTTAGGGATGAGACCGGTGACACAAGTTTTTTTTTGGTTTTTTTATGCAAAAGTTCATCACCATGAAAAGCTAACCAAAACTGAAAGTAAACTACTATACATTTTATCGACATCCACTTCACTGTCACTACACACAAAGCGACTATTTTTAGAATTATTCTTACGCATGATAACATGGACTACATTCGTCTGATTCCTTATTTCAAACGCGGCCTACATTGTAGGTGACTTGATAGACCGAAACATATATCTATATTTCAGCCTCTGATAGCTATTTGGCTGGATGAATGTTTTAGTAGTTCAGTCACACCTTTTATGTCACGTCTCCGATTCCATCAAAGTTTTTTTTCACGAAACTGCGTGCGCAGCCTAAAATTCACAGTCAACAAAACGAAAGTTACGGTGGTGTCCAACACTAATAATTTACAATCATCGTAAAGGTAATTTAAATCATGTTTAAAAACGCATCTTCGGAGGTGTGGAAAACTAATGGTCAAGAGTCAGATAATATATTAAAATTTATTTCCATCTGAAAAAAAAAAATACGTTATCATGGCACTGATTAAGGTTGGGTGTTTTCGTTTCTGTTCTGTAGCTTTAGAAATAAGTTAGCATTAAATTCAAAGGGAAATAGCCATATAATAAAAACCAGAGTTATATCCCTTTGTGAATGCCTAGTAATCGTTCTCTTTACCGTTATCCTACGCCCAGGACAGTCACGTTATAATAGCATAAGAAGAAATTCAGAATAATTTGAATCGCTTAAAAGAATTTGAATCTGCTTTTGTTTTCCAATTTATATTTGCAGGTGCTAATAGAAGTGATAAATTTGCCAACCAAATCCTGGAATAGTAATTCTACATTCAACTTTTCGCAGCTATATATTGTTTTGAATTGTTTGTATAATTGATGAAATTAATTTTGTGATCGTTTTTCAGCATCACATATTCTATAGAAACATTAATTTACTGAATGTCTGAAACAGAACCGAACAGAGTTCAATATGACATTTCAATTATTCTTCGTCGCCCATATACCATTTAGGTCGGCGACAACTCACTTTGTAACGGAATTTCTATAGCTGCGGCCTACAACGCCAACCTTAATACAGAAATTACCCAGAATTTAATAGTATGTTGTTTCTACATCAATGTCCAATGATAACCAATGATTTATTCATCAATTCAATACTCTTTATTCATGGATTATTAATATTTGATATACTTGTATGAGAAAAAATTAAAATCAAATAACAATATACTATGATCAGACATAAATAAAACCACTCAAATATTAACAACAAGGCACCGGATAACTTGATTAATATTGATAATATAATATAATAGTAGAATGCTGAATACTGCTCAATAATACACAATATACTAACTCTGATCTCTAATATATAAACTGTACTGTTTAATATACAATTGTGGAATCTGATAATTATGCAATACTGGAAGCCCCTTATGCCGAATTATTCTATAATACTGAAACCCTAATCCTATGGTTTATGCTATACAATGTATATATACAATACAGGAATAATAAATATAGATTATTAAAATAAACAATTCTGGAGTCAATAATTTACTCAAGAGGAACTCATTTTGTTAAAAAAAATCATAACCGATATATTTTGACGCTGGTCGTAGTTCACGAGAATATGACGTTTTGCAAGTGACGACGGTAAAATTGGTGCAGTATCTGATATCCTGATACCTGAAATTAAACTCTATCAGCTGGTAGTAAAATTGTCTAAAACATAATATGAGAAAATGTAAGCGAATAAAGAAAATAAAATGAATGCGAATTTGAGATTCAAAACAAATTTTTAAATGTCAACAAAAGTGATGACAGATAAACATATGATCAGATGTCATATAAATTTCTAATATGTCTATTTTTAAAAATAGAAAGATGTTTTGGTATGTCAAATATAAAGCTGCCATGTAAAAATGTCATTTTTCAAATCATACATTATACTTAACATTAAACATGCATACATTTGTAAATTATAATATTGTCATTAAATATAAAAAAAATAGAATACTATAAGTTTAGAAAAATATAATACATTTCAAAGAACAATAAATATAAACACACTAATTGCTAAAAATATATCAACAGTTAAAGCATATTCCCATACCATTAAAGCTAATTACCAATTTATCATTCATAAAAGTCTAGATATAATTAATATATCTGAATACAGTATAATTATAGTGAGAATTGTGATTTCAATTGTTAATACTGTGAAGGTAATTAATTCTATCATGAAGCAAACGTAATGTAATGTAATGTATTGTAGTGTTTTCTTATGGTTTAAGGTATCCCACAAGAATTCAAATTGTTTAGGCTCAATATCAAAGTAAAGATTTCTATAAATTCGTCTTTACAATTTACGAAGGGCAGTTTTCTGAAAAAATTGTTTCATTAATGATTTTTAGTGGTATCTGTACAATTGCACCTTTTCTATCTATACACCAATTACTATATATCATTTATTAATCATAATACTTGAGATTCGAAAATGAAGAAATGTACCTCTATCTTGTCATCGAGTTAAAATGGTAATGTAAATGATTTGTAAATAATATTTATATACTCTCAAATGTAAACGAATCTGGAAAATAATATAATCTTTTATATAATTAAATGTTGAAAATATGACTAGAATATACAGCACTGTAATGTATCCAAAATGGCATTTCCTTGGAAAGAAGGTACTCAACTAATATGAATATTGTTCAGTCAAATGAACGCAATAACATGTAACCATTTTTCAATGCCTAATAAATTTGGTTAAAATTGTATTGTTATTGTTACAGTCATTTTGTTATAATACTACTTAATTAAGTTGTCTTTAAAGAATACGCATTATTGTTTTCTCTGGTTCTGAAAAATTGACAGTAACAACTTCTTAATGATGTCCGTTCACTCCGTTGTTTCCATTATTCATACCATTTCTAGCTACGTAATATTTCTTACAGAATTCCTCAATTCTATCACAAGCCTCGGCAACTTTCGTCTCGGGAATTGTTAACACCACACGGAAGTAGTTGGGATATTGGAAGCACTGGAAAGCAGAATTGATTAGTTTAGACAATAACGCAAGTTAGTAGATAAAATAGAGACATGTAAAATCAAACCAGTGGGATCAAAATTAACCCTTTAGTATTGGGCATGTCTGAACATACATGATCTATTAGTCTGACAAATCTGGTCCTACCCGCTCCTCGGGCGTGATATACCAATGGAATATCGGCACGTTTAGGACCAGACATAAACTGTTACTTTTTATGGGAGACTGCATACTCCGAACCATGTTCAGATAGCTAGTTTTTGAGAATTTCAACATGACAAAAGCCAAAGTTCGGTATCTATAACAAGCTGAACCATTAATGAGTACTACAATAAGCTGAGGATGGGCTTTTTCGGTAATTTAAGCCTACTTCTCAACTGTATTCTTGTACTTTGTTGGGCACAGCGACAGAATATCCGTTTAGATTTATGGTTCAACGTTTGTGAACAATGATAAATGATTTTCAGTAACTTACTGAAGCTGGGAGACAAAAGACACTTTGTTCTTTTACTAGAGCTTCTACAAACTGGATATCACATTTAAATACAGGGAACGTTTCAATATCTATACCGACCTGGAGGAAAATAGACAATAGTATATAATAAGCTAAAACTCTTCATAGCAAGTTTTTTTCTATATAACTATAATCACAATTACACTCACTTTGGCATTACTTGCATAATAACATTATAATTAATAACAATAAATTATAAAAATACAAAATTACTTTCCTAATAACAATTCAATTACTATCATTATTACAAAATATCCTTTTTTGACGCCTGTATGAAATTTCATAAAAAAAAGTTATGTATTTCACAATTGGAATAATGCCAAATTGCGATTGATTTCTGTGTTTTATGATGAGAAATAAAGGTACATGTACTTAAAAACGGAAATTCCTTACCATCATGTACATAGCACCTTGAGGCATAATAGGTGTTAGTCCAATTATTTCTCTAAATCTTGAATAGAATATTTCAGCATTGTTCTGTAATGAAGGGAAACCATGCAATTAAAGAAGTCAGAGTGAAGTACAGAAAAACTTGTCAGCCACATTGTCAGGGAAAAGAATATGAAAAAGTTATTTCGAGAGTCTGGGGCACAGACAAATGAAGCCTAGTTGAGAAAAAGGGTTGGTTCATTTCCATCATTAACCAAACAAGACAAAGTTTACACAATACCGTCATTTGGTGAAAGTGAACCATCATGTGAATAGTTCCTTTCCTAAATTAAGAAATCTCAAAGGGTGCGCGACTCGTAAATACGATTCTATTAGTCTTAGTTTTACGAATATGAAAAATATCATAACAAAAAGCATGAAGCAAAGAATAATGGTTTAAACATTCTAAAAACTTGTGAGAAATACATTCAACAAAGAGCATCATAAATATCTTACCTTCATATGTACCAAGGTATCCTCAAAGAATTCTGATGAAGTGTTTTTCAGTATATCAGGAATTGCTTGTTGAACTAATGTATTAGGTCCCAATATTCTCTGTGATAACTTCACTAAACCTCTTCGAACCTATATGAACATATTGCGACCATAAAAAATGAAATCGGTGGGAACTCTAGAACCTGGATGATGTAAACCATCATCATTATCATTTGTAAAAAATAGTTGAAACACCGTAGATCTCGTTTTGGGATAGGAGTTTAAGGTTCACTCAAAATTAATACATCGATGTAAAATTGTATCCAAACCTGTCATATCATTGGATATATCCCTCGTTTAGAAACATATTTACATAATTCTTTGTAGATAGGATAGTTTATTGTTAAACGGTAAACTTACATTAACAAATATATCATTTAAATCATGTATAACAATCCAACCCATTCTCCAACCTGGCACTAAAAATCTGTAAATGATAAAGGAAGCTTTGAATACTTGTAGTATTGCGATAACACTGAAACTGAGTGGACGATAACGAATTCCACCTCAATTTCACTACCACAAGAAATCAAGTTTTACTCTTAACTCCTGTATAGCTGATTGAGAAGAGCACTTGCAACATCAAAGGAGCCTTAACGCCGACAGCTTATATATACATGCGGGGTTTGGCATATCGGAACGACTAACAGTAACATCAACCTCTCCGAGAAACTAGAATTATCCAAGGGCACTATCCAACAAAACAAGTTTAAACAAACATATACACGACTTACCTCTTGGTCAAACCTGAACATGATAATATAGGTACTGTTGTAGTCAATGATGCTAGAGAATAATATTTACTTCCACAAAATACCTGGAAATATGAACATATACAGCATAGAGTCATCCACTGATATAGTTTACAATTACAGAACAGAACGTTATGATTTACTATAGTCTATTAATGGTGAATCAGCACGTCTAGAATATTACGATATGATATAAACAAAATGTCGACCAATTTTGAAGTCTACAAATGAAGAACATAACAATATGACATGAAATACGCGAAGTCGATCCATTAGTCTAGAATATAACGTTATGACGCATACGCAATGTCGATGATGGTAAAGTCCACAACTAAATAGCATTACATTATGCTATATGAATTTTTTTTATGTCGATCAATGGTGTCGTCTACAAGTCTAGATCATAGCGTTGTGAAATATATACAATGTCGCAATGATGAAGTCTACAACAGCAGGACATAACGATGTGATAATTACGCAATGCTGATCAATGTGTAGTCGAGAACATAACCTTCAGCTCAACTACCATAGGGATTGGTTGAAGCAAGTCTACGGGTCCCCACCCTTGCGGGAACCTGCACCTCCAGGAAAAATGAATGTAAAAATTACAAAAAAGAAAATGGTCCAAAGTATGCTGGTTCCCTACGAAGGGCAATATTATGTCCTTCTTTAAGAAAATGAGGCCCAGGCCCACTTAAGTGTATGTGCCCGCAATCATCTAGTTGAGCCACTACTGTTTATCTAATCTTTGGAGAAATAAACCATCTACAAATTGTGCGAGTAATAAGATTGTAAGTTTGGAATCTTACAAAAAGGGATAAAGGAATGTCTAAAAGGGACATAGTTGATTGATGAATACAATTGTAAAATATTCAAAAGAACGAAATGGTTTCTAAAAAAGTATATAATTTTATGTTTATAGAAATATTATAACAAAACATGAAATAGTATAATACTTTGAATTCTATTTTAATAGTTCTATATTATAAGCCCCATATTTCTCTGTACTTAATGTGTTGTGCAATGAATGCTATTTCAACTCAAAATAAATCTTTTAATGTTAAAATGGTACTCAATACAATAGTTACAGAGTTATATAGTAAAAGTAAAAAAATATCGAGGTTCAGACCATTCTTCTTTCAAACTGAAAAGAAAAACCCAAAGTATACATTAGAAATTGGATGAAATGTTACTGGTATAAAAAGCCATTAATTTGAAATGAAAAGTGAGGTTTGTTTGCAAAATAATAAGATTTGGTGAAAAAAGACGTGCAGCGGCAACGCAATGCAGTGTGATTTTTTTCCACAACGACAGCATTGGAATACTCCTTTTAATTCAAGCACAAGAGTGTATATCGGGGTGCTTAGAATATGCGGTAATTCCAGAAATAAGTATATTTCCCTATTCTCACCTAGAGAGTTTTGAAACTTTGTAACCATATCAGAAAAGGTAACTTCCATTTCTCGATATCTTTCCATACCGACGACATCCCGATCTCGGATTGAATCAAAATCAACAACTTCTTCCTCTAAATACAGACCACCATCAATAACTGTTTGAAAATTCCAGACCTTCGCCAAGGTCTATAACTCTTTCCAGCATATTTGTATCATCGTCAAGAGTGGAATCTCTGCTGACTATGGTTCTTCAGTATAAAAGGTGATCTCTGGAAATGACCAGTAACGGCAGAGACCAGCTAGCTGTAGTAGCATTGCTTCAGCATTACTGAATCCTGTACGACAAAAGGCTAACAAATAAACATATAAACATTGAAACAAGGAGGCGATGTTCAAATGCCTTCAGATTTTGCCCAGAAGATGCCCGGGGAACTATCTGTGTCTATTTGTGTCTTCTTTAGAACCGAACATTTGGACACTATTTCCAAAAAAAAAGGGTTGGGATCTTCCATGTTATAGTTGTTTGTCTCTATTTCATCGTCGTTGTATCGTACATGTTGCGAATGATTGTCTGAAATAGACAAAAAAACAAGCCTTAATGTGGTATGTGGACTCTCTGAATGGCCCCAAGATACAGTTCACATCCACAATACTATTCCTGTAAGAGACACCGTATGTAGGCCTTCAAAATAACAAATTACTCGTGGATTTAACCTATTGAACCCGATCCCTTAAAAAAATATGGATACTTTGAGCCGTGCTGCAAGAAAAAAGAAATGAAATGAAATGAAATACAACGAATGGAGGTTTATGTCCTAATTTTCTGCAAAATTTCTGGGAAACTTGCCAGAACAGCGGCATTAGCCAACTCTTATTCGAATTCAAACTGTCAATGGATCCTTAACGTGCATAGCCTGTAGCACAGTTTAGTGTCCCATACGAGCGACCGGGGTAAAACAAAGTATTATCTCGACCTTTCTGGGATTGAAATTCCGGACCTTTGAGTTAACGAGCAAGCGTCTAACTGACTGAGCCACCGCGGCTCTCTCGCTCTGCAGCAAAGATTTCAGATAAGAAATAGAACTTACCACTCCAATCCCCAACAGTAACAGCCGGAATAATGAGACCATCTTTCAAAAATCCCAAGGGACAAACACTTGAACTCTGCTGAGGTTCCTTGCTTGAGTACAAATTTGGCTGCCATCGTCCGAGGCAGCATGAATCCAGGTTTTCCAGTTTTCAAGCAGCTTTCCAGATCCCATTAAGACGATTTGTTCATCATAATTAAGAACGTAATGAGTGCTCAATGAAACCTGGCATCCACAAAATGAAGAAAACTCAGTCCACTTTTCTCCAAATTCGGATATGAAGACGCTCCCAAAAATGCCGACGTTTGCTTTTCTGTAGGTTCTTCTTCATAAAATTATCTAATTTTCGTCATTATGACGTCATAAAGTTTTCTAATAGGAAGTTGTAATCACCAATTGATTCTGTTCGGGACACATTTGAAAAATTAGTACAGACGCATATAAATATACTTTATTTGCATAATAATTATATCACGTGTGTCCACTATACTGATTGGTTGCCCAACATTAATACGTCATATGTCGTGAACTCGAAATAATTTTAGGTACCCCATTTCTTCAATAGAAGAAACGACTTCCGAGCAAAATTTGAAGTAACGAATGCTATATATACCATCTCGGACGTCGTATTTCCATATTTCCCAGAGGAAACAAATACAGCATTATAGACAAAGAAGTAACGTCGCGTCTATTGTTCTCGAAGGCGATTTTGGACCGCGTCAATAATAAATGTTAGAGCTTTTAGTTAACGTAATTTTCCTAGAAGGAAAGGGACACACATCTCTAAATTATGATCTATATTTTGCTTTCATTTGAGCACCTATATGACCTACGTAAAAAATCAGACTGCTCCTTTAATATTACCAGAAATGACGACATAGGATTCAAACTAATAATCATATAATGTATCATTGGATAACCGATAGTCACAAATGCATACATAAATGTCAGTTTTATCTCTCAAAGTCTCTAAATTTATGTACTATATTAAGATCGCAAAATAACTAAATTAAAAACTTAACTAAGCAATATATAAACGAGTGAAATGGCATTAAATACAGACTGAACATTTTTTCAATAGGGTTCATCCTTGAGTGATAACTAACACTAAAATTTGTCAATAATTGAACTTTCTAGAGCGTTTACGAGCTAAAAATTGAACGCGTTTTCAAGAACAAGGGCAATTACTCACATTAATTATTTTCGATTTTTCTGATTTTCGACAGGGTTCATCCTTGGGTGATTACAAACACTCACACTCAGTTTCGTCAAAATCCGTCTAGATTTGTGCCTTCTGGAGTGATTACGGGCTTAAAATTGAACGTGTTTTCAAGAACAAGGGCAATAACTCATACTAAATATTTTTTGATTATTCTGATTTTCAATAGGGTATATATCCTTAGGTGATTACTAACAGCCATACCACGTTTCGTCGAAATCAGTCAGGAATTGTGTCTTGTAGAGTGTTTGCGAGCAATTGTGGACGGGCCGACGGACCGACATGGGTGACGGCAATATCCCCCCCCCCCCCTTTTCATGTGGGCGTATAATAACAAATTAATGGGAGAGGGGCCCCCCCACTCATCTTGTTGAGCCACTGAATATAACGTGATGATAATACGCATTGCCGATCAATCATGTAGTCTGCATGTCCAGAAAATTACGATATGATATATACACGATGCCGACCGAAGTGTCTATAGCTGTTCTACATGATGACATCCTATTATTAAATTAGATGGTGGTGAAGACATGATGTATGTAATTCCAAAGGAAAGTTTGCTTTACATTGAGAAATACTGCCTAAAATCATCTTTATTAGACATTAGCATTTCATCATCAAATCGATCATCTTTTTGAGAATGTAACAATACATAAGTACTTACGAAATGTTCATAAATTTCATCAGCGATAACTGGTAATTTGTTTTTCTCACAGATTTCTAGGATAGCTTCTAGATGTTCTTTACTGTATACTGATCCACATGGATTGGATGGATTATTCACAATAATACCTGCTGTATTCTCATCTATTAATTCTTCTATATGGTTCAAATCAGCCTCCCAACTTTTTTCTGGCTACAATTTTCAAAATAAAAGTTATTCCAGTGGCGTAGCTAGAATTCATTGAGGGGGGGGGGGGGGGGGGTCGGGTGGGGATGGTGGGGGTTGTGGTATGGACTTGTATTCTATGCTAAACGTGTGAATGTGTACGCTGTTTTTTAGTTTGATGAGGAACAATTACATGTTGATTGAACATAAAAGAATGATGCATCAAACTTACCAGTAATTTATAATTCCGAACTTCAATACCAAGTGATTCTGCCAATGTTTTATAGATAGAGAAGCCAGGTAAAGGCATTAACATATTTTGACCAGGGTTAGCTAAACACGAGATACATAGATCTAGAGCACTGGAACAACCACTAGTCAATATTACATCCTGTAAGCATAGAAGATAATTTGTTTATAGGACTATACTTACAAACATAAAATCTTACTGTATTGACCACCTCTTATTTGGCCATAGGTATCTATATCTATCAGAAAAAATCCACCAACTATATCACAGCACTTGCAAAATGACGGCGATTTGTCTATTTGAAATAATCACAACCAATTCCCATAAGAACATTGATAAGGGTAAAGGGGACACTAAATCCCTCCAGCAGCACCTTATCCTAGGCCTGGGTAGGAAATGGGTCAACCTGTGACTTTTGAAAGTTCAAAGGTTATTTTATCAGAAAAATTTCATTGGTTGAAATTTTGCGACCATCTCATATTCCTCCATAACGGAAATACCACTGCCTGCTCATGGAACTTCTTGATCTGTCAAGGTATATGACGTAAGTTTCATAAAGAACTAAACCTTAAAAATTATAACATATAATGTTGTTCTGTTCATGGTGATTTCTATATGACATTAGTTTAAATTTCATGAACAGGAATCAACGAATATATTGATTGACACGATAGTGCATTCGTTCTAGACCTACATACAGTGGTAATTCTAGTAAGGTATGACAATTAAATCTACATTATGTCATTAAGTATTATCAAAAACTTTTATAATGTGAAAAAAAAAACATTTCGTCACTGATGGGATGTACGTGATGTTTTCTATATTTTAATGACCTTGAGTTTTTGTGACTTTTTTAAAAAAATAATTACTGAGTGAAACATTTTAATCAAATCATATATTATGTATGTAAATGTACGTAGAATTACTGTATGGTATCATAACTTAAATGTAGAATAAATGTAACTAATATTTAGAGTAATTAGGTATCATAACTAATACATAGATTAACAATATGGTATCACAACTATTACATATATGAACTGTATGGTATCAAGACTAATAATATATGAACTGTTTGGTATCATAACTAATACATAGAGTTACAGTAAGGTTTCATAACTGATGTGTTAATCGACTGTATGGTATCATACCTAATATAATAATATAGAGTAACTTAAGACATCATAACTAATATGTTATAATTTATGTAGGCTAATAACTAATTGTATTGCATCATAACCCAGTTCCACGTAAGAGTTCGAGATTTCGTGGAAGGTAATTGAGGAAATAGAGGGGGGTCACAATTTATAAGTACATTATCTTGTTTACCTTTGCTGTCACTACTGATGTTGGTGTAGAGGTATAATCGGCCACAGCTAGTCTGGCACTTTCATAACCTAATTAAGATAAATAATAATCAAATATAAATATAATAATGTACAACAAAACTGGCATTTCATTTTAATCCCAGAGAAGGCAGTTAGAAAATGTGTACGTGGAAAGTTCAGGTCTACAGTAGAGTTGTCATAAATGCTCTAAATAGCTCAAATAACTTTTAAAAATAGGCTACCTCAGTGTTTATGTTTTCTAAATAACCTGTCAAATATAACGTGAAGGTATTTAAGATGATAACCTCAATACAAATGACATAATCTAATGTCAAAGTACTAGGTAATGTAATTAATAATGGATCAAGAGATTAAGGAGATTACCAACTGAAGCTGTGTAGCCATTAGACTTTCTTCCTTTGATAGCTTCGATCACTGCATTCTCGGCTACTTCACAGTAAGGTAGATTGCCAAATATAGTTGGATCCCCTTAAAAAACAAAAGATTAAAGTGTTTATTTATCGAATAGTTATATTATCTTAATCCATGCTTACCGAATAAATTAAGATTTAAGAAATTAGGGGTGATTGGATGTAGTTCAATTCGGGTACTTTGAGTCAGTATCTTCAAATAAGTCAAATTTTATTACATTCATTTCTTTTTAAATGACAAAGTAAGCCAAAAGAAGGGTGCATGGAGTTGAAATTCATTTATATTCATTTTAACCCAGTTGGCAAATTACCCTTCTCACTCTATAAATCTTTTTAATAAATGTCTTTTGTCTTTTTCTGAGACATTTGTTTTACTACTATTAGCCATGGGGCCTTTTTAATTCTTATTTCTCACTTAATTGACGAATATATGTTTCAATTATAACCACCTCAAAATTTCAATTTAAATTAAAGAATTTACTAAACGGACAAAGATGACCATACAAACGACCTAGATTGATTGAAAACGATAAATAAGTACAAACATATAAAGAGGAAAAACGCATTATTCTTACCAATAGAAAGTGCTATCATATCTTTTTCTGGGTTTGGTGTGATGGTCATACTATCAACTAAATTACGTATTGGATTAACTGAATTTTCTGCCATAACAGAGCAAGGAACATTCCATGTTTTACATTTCTTTATCTTATCAGACATTTTCGTTCGATTTTCTAAAAAAAAATAGAAGATAAAAAAAAAATCAAAATACCAATCCGGAAATTTGATTTCCAAGAGGAAAAAAAACACAAATTAATGAAATTTAGCTTCTCTGAAGCTTGCCCTTTGCTTTAAATTCCAATGTTAATATAGAATTTGGAATAAAAAGTAATCTACAAAATAAGTAGGCCTTAGAATACTCAGTGTCAAAAAATAGAAATATCGATGCATTATAAATAGTAAACAGTTCCATGTGTTAGTATAGGTATAATGTATACAGTGACCTATTCTTATTCTCACCTGATCAATTCTAGAACAGTGGAAAAACTAACCAATAACAGATTTTACAAAACTTGACAACTTTTTAAATCCTAATAGTTGTATGTGTAGAAAAACAATGAATATAATGATGTTAAACATTATTTACCTGTTTTTAGCTGAAAAAAGCCTGCGGTTTGTAAAAATGAAATACTGTTGACGTTGTCAGTCCTACGATTTATTGAAATATTGGATTTAACCTTCACACACCGATATATACAATACTCTATTATCATTGGTCAAAAATTAGACATGTTTTTATAACTTCCTCTGATTGGTTAAGCTTAGAGGTGAATTGAAGGGAAAATTAACGGTAAACAATGAATCCTGAAGTGTTGCATCATCAGGCCATAAGCTACGTTATGTACCTAATTGAGAATTATACTAACCGAAATATGGACTTCGTAATGTCCACAGATGATTTTTTTTAAAAATACATCACATGCTATCAATGAACTATGGTATTTCATAGCAAAGTATATATAATACTATATAGGCCAAACAAGCGGCTACCAGCTTGAAATTATTGTCAATATAATAATCAATCGATTTTATGCATGAAATATCTCATGCAAATGACAGTATTATTATAATCAGCTTCATATAAGTAACATGTGCAGGTCCGGATGATTTTTCAAGAACATATAATTTTTCATTTCCATTTCGTTTGCGCTTTATAATAACCATAAAAACTATATATATATAGATGAATCCTAGTCGTATCATTAAAGATGTCACCAAAATTGTCCTTTTTGGCCATTTGATTGGCGAAGGCAGCTTAACAATATTCGGCAGTCATGTTTTCGGTGGAAAAAAATAAATTTCAGATCTTTTAATTACCAAAAAATCCCAATTACCTTAAAATCAGCACAAAATACAAAATACTAATCCATCAAAAATCATATTCTATGAAGGGAGAAAGAGACGGTTTCCAAGAAGTTCCATAATGCTGAAAATCCATGAAAAATTGTTTCATCATCACTGATGCCTGATAAAGAACATAGCCTACAACAAATAAAAGGAAAACTATCCGACAAAAATTTTAGTCTTAAAGTGATACTACGTCTTAGAATTAACATAAAATTTAAGAATTTTAAACTTGGTGAATAAGAGCCAGTTGATATACCTTGTGTCATAAATAACATAACAGGATCCTTATATAATCCGATAAATCTAAAAAAGTTAATAAAAATGCAATTAACTATTGAAAAACGTTTCAAGATTAAGCGTTTTTCAATAAGTACTTATTTTTATGAATTTTCAAATTT